GAACTTGTAGACTGAGCAGCATTGGGGGGGAGGCACCTCCTCATCACAAGCTGTTGTGCTGGCATATAAGGCAGTTAGCGTGGATCAGTTATACTAGTACATGTTTTGAAGCATAAATATGTATAACTAATTGCAATGTGCACAATACATAAGACTGTTCTTTTATTTATAAAGTCTAACAGTCCAGCAGCTTCTAACAGATGCTATGTTTTGTGTAGAACAAGGGCTAAATGGCTAACAATGCTGGCTTTGGCTACTGACTCTCCCACAGAAATAAAATATTCTTTCATCTTTTCCACCCTGTGAACAGCAACAAGAGCAACATCGCCATCACTGTCTACCATGACCACATCTCCAAGGTAGAGGTAGAGGCACCTAGATGTAGAAGTGGTGGCACTGTTGGTGGTGGTTGCACTTTTGGGGCTATGGTAGAGGCATAACAAGAAATCCTTAAAAGATAAAGTGGACTTCCCAATTGCTTGCCTGTTCTCTTTGCTGCCAGTATAAAAGTTTGTTGAAAAGAAACAAGATAAATCAGTTCCCTGATCTCATCTATTATTTGATAAAATCATCATAAACACATTGGATTTAGTGTGCTGTGAAGTACACAGAGTCGTATAACTATTGGTAACTGTTTACTTGCTATTAATAATTAGCAGCTTTCATAGTAGAGTGCTAGCAAAGTGCCAGGCATTTGGCACAATAGAATCTCTATTGCATATAGCCAAGTTCAAATTATATTACTTTGGACAATGGCAGCAAATGGTACTCCTTTGAGTCTCTGCCACTGCAAACAATGGGATGTTGGACAGTTTCATTTGTTTATTGCCTTATTTATTTGGACAGGTGCAAGCTGGCCATGTAAAATTGGATCTTATTCATAGATAAGCATAAGATGCCTTTAGAAGCATTATCAAGATCAACACACAGGGTGAAACAGAATGCTGTGTGTACACTAGCAGATTCTTAATTTATTTACAGCTTAATTATTGTAGATCAAAGAACCCACAAACATAGAAGATTTTGTGAGTTACTCGTTGTGGCGTAGCTGATAGAGTGACAGACTAGGACTTTGGAGACCAGGAGTTGCATCCCTACTTGGCCATGGATACTCACTGGGAGAGTGGAGCTGCTAAAGCCACTCCTTATATGTCCAACTTATCTTGACAGTGCTATTGTTGTTTAGTTTTTAAGTTGTGCCCAACTCTTCGTGACCCCATGGACCAGAGCACGCCAGGCCCTCCTGTCTTCCACTGCCTCCCAGAGTTGAGTCAAATTCATGTTGGTAGCTTTGGTGACACTGTCCAATCATCTCGTCCTCTATTGTCCCCTTCTCCTCTTGCCTTCACATTTTCCCAACATTGGAGTCTTTTCCAGGGAGTCTTATCTTCTCATGAGATGGCCAAACTATTGGAGCCTCAGCCTCAGGATTTGTCCTTCCAGGGAGCACTGAGGGTTAGATAAATTGATAGGTTTGTTCCCCTTGCAGTCCAGGGGACTCTCAAGAGTCTCCTCCAGCACCACAATCCAAAAGCATCAGTTCTTCGGCGGTCAGCCTTCTCACTTCCATACATCGCTACTGGAAAAACCATAGCTTTGACTATGTGGACCTTTGTCAGCAAGGTGGGCTCTGTTTTTTAAGATGCTGTCTAGGTTTGTCATTACTTTCCTCCCAAGAAGCAGGCGTCTTTTAATTTTGTGGCTGCTGTCTCCATCTGCAGTGATCATGGAGCTCAGGAAAGGAAAATTTGTCACTGCCTCCATGTCTTCCCCTTCTATTTGCCAGGAGGTGATGGGACCAGTGACCATGATCTTAGGTGTTTTTTTATGTTGAGCTTCAGACCATTTTTTGCACTCTCTTCTTTCACCCTCATTACAAGGTTCTTTAATTCCTCCTCACTTTCTGCCATCAGAGTGGTATCATCTGCGGTTGTTGATATTTATTCTTGCGATCTTAATTCCCAAGAATACATTTCAGCTGAAGACTTTTTTCTGAGCGTCCTATGATATGGGTGAAATAACAAACCTTTTTTCCAACATGGGAAGCTACTTATTAAGTAAGAAAGCTGCCAGGGCTCATTTTTTGTGCCTTTGAACCACAACTTCCATCAGCCCTAGCCACCAGAGCAAGTAGAGAAGGATGATGGGAGTTATAATCCAAGAACATCTGCAAGACCATAAATTGTCCTCTCCGTTCTGAAGAGCAGAATCAGTGTATCAAAAACAAGAACAGAAGAATAGTCCTTGTGGGTCAGATTCAGATCAAGGTCCATTAAGTCAATTTACACAGTGCTCAGTCAGTTGCCTGTGCGAAGCCCATGAGCAGGCCGCGGTTAGTGAAAAGCGTGGATTATAGCTAACAGATTGTTGGACCCAGGACTCCCACACACTCACCTGTAATTTTTATCTTGATGGGGCCTCTTGAGTAAGAAGAGCCAAGTTGAAATCCTCCCTCTTTCTCTTCTTTGAAAATAATTAAGGATCCATTTCCTTGTTTTCCTAAGAGTCTTGAGGAAAGGGCTACCGGAAGGTGGGAGGTGGAAAATTTCTCCCAGGAGGCAATTTGACAGTTCTGAGTTTTACAAGACAGATGCTGCTCTGCAGGGAAGCTGTCTCAGGGTTCCAGGCAAGGCAAAATGATGGTTCCTCCCTCTAGTGGCCAGTCTGATAATTTCATCTTACATCTGTATTTATAAGTACAGTTCATTTTCATTTAATACAGTATTTTAGTAGGTATTTTCATCTAGTGGCTAAGTGAATCAGTGGTTATTGATCCAGTGGATACAGGGGTCCTATTGTACTTTTAAAGCTCCAATTTCTGTCTTTAAAAAGACCTTCTCACCACACAGTGATCATGTTTTGCTACTATTTTTTGCAACTCATAGCAAAGCCAGTAGTTGTTTTTCAAATGCCTCCCACTGCTTCCTGAAATGGAAATGATTCCTTCTTCAAGCTCATTTTTACTTGTCATTTAGTTACCATACTGTAAAGTTATTTGTTTTTCATAGGGAAATGTTAGAGGGGAGAGGAGCCATGGAAAAAGAGGTAGGAGACATGGAAAGACAGAGGAGGGGGAGAAAACAGAGACAGAGAGAGTAGGAGGAGGGAGATGAGCCAGAGGGGAAAGAGAGAATGAGAGAGAGAGAGAATGGAGTCATGGAGAGAGAAGAGAGGAGGTGTCTGAGCAATAAATACCTAGAGGGCTTGCCAAAAAATAGTCATAACAATTGTTCTATGTTTGGGTGAGAGCTGGTTAACTAAGGTTCAGGTTCTGGGAGTTTCCTTGCTTGGCATCTGTGAGTGATAGTAAGCACAAGAGGGGATTCTGTTGACTATCTTGATTGCTAACATTGATGATGTTGTAATTCAAGTTGGCCTTTGCTATGTAAACCTTGATATTTTTTCCTCCTCTGCTTGGAGTTTAGGCACAAATGATGAACATGGAAGTAATATGTCATGTTCATAAACCAGAGGTTTGTTGAAGGATTTATTGTTTTGCTGTTATTCTCAATGATATGGCTGATGCGGGGTTTTTTACAAGTTCTTGCTTGCATTGTGTTATGCCTAAATATGTAAGAGGCTGAGGCAAACAGGATTGCCAGCAGCAGTAGGGATAAATTCCTGTATGTTTAATGAATGAACTGGAATTGTTCTCAGTATGGTAGTTCTTCTCATTCTGGTACCACAGAGGCACAGCAGGTTCATATACAATGATTAGAAGTAGAAATAGATTATTTGACTAGAACTTCAACTCTACTTATTTTTCTAGAATCTTTAAATCTAGAAAAAGATAGAACAAAAATGACAGATTTATCCATCCCTAATTACTTTAAATGAGTTAATTGCTTAAGTTGTGGGGTTAAATTTTACTCAAATAACAAATGAGGTGAAAACAAAACAAAAAACACAAAAAAGACAAAAACTTTGTGGCACCTTAAAGACCAACTGCTGTTTTTTAATGAGCTTTCATGGATATGTCTGCTCCCTCAGACCCTACCTGCAAGTGGACTTGTCCATGAAAGCTTACATTAAAATATATCAGTTAGTTTTTTAAGGAGCCACAGTGTTTTTGTCATTTAAAAAAAACCTCATTTGTTCTGGCCTGATCTACTAGCACAGACTATGACAGCTATGTCTTCTAAATAAATTTGCAAAATGCCAGTCCTGCGCACAACCTCATTTTGTGAATTTGCTGCTGTTTGCTGCCTTGACTTATACAATTTCACTTACTCTGGAGTAAAATCTTAAAATGATTCTAGCCCATCTCTTGCATTCTTATTGGCCTTCTAGCTAGGAAATGAAAAGAGAGCGTGCTTCCGAGCCTCATCAAACTTTCTTTCTGTCTCTAATTCTCCCTGTGCCCCTCTGCAAGCCACCGGTCCTTCTCCCATCTGGCATTGATTCATTCCTTTCCTCACTCTTTATAGTCTTTGCCAAGATATTCTAAATTAAACAATTGTAGTTCATGCATTCATTTTCAACTCTATTTGTGTGCTGCTTTTTCTGCCAAATGCATGGTATCCAAAGAAGTTTCCAACAAAAAACACAATAGTAGAGGTATGTGGAACGCCTCCCTCCTCACACAAGCCAGTCCATCCCCAAATAAGGTCTCAAAGATAAGTCTTCAGCCTGTCCTGCACCCTTTTGGTGACACACCAACCTGGTTCCTTATTGAAATCTGTGACAGTTTTTGTGCATTTCTGAAACTCTGTTAAAATACATTTGTGTGAATGGAGGGACACAAATAACTAGTACCTGGAATGGGGCTCGATAAGCACTATAGTTTTTGAGGACATGATAGACAAGTGAATTTGACTTCTGACCATAGGCACCCTTCTAGCATTTGTGCACTAGCAATTGCTCAAAAGCAATTTTAGCTTTTTGTGCAAAAGCAATTGCCCAAACGCAAATCATAGGATTTGCACCAATACAAATGGGAGTATATACAACTAATGTGCTGTACTAATGGTTAGTTGTGGCTTTTTTGTTTTGTTTTCCAGAACGGGATTTCAAAGATTTGGGACTTCATGAGGTCACATGACAGGTAAATTTCACAAGTGGTGTCTGATAAATAAACATTCCTTTTTTTCAAGTGATCCATCCCACTCCTTCCTCCATCTTTTTAATATATGTATGTAACAGCTTTTAACATTATGATGCATCTGAACGTGTAGGCTGTGAAGTTTGTGCCAATAGAAATTTATTATTGCTTAAAGTACCATACAACTCTTGGTTTAACAGTGAATTGACATTTATATGTGGTACTTTTTGGTACTGTCTTACATCTTGGTATAATCCTTATTCCAACTCTGGGTAGTGTGTATTATCCTCATATCTGGACTTGAACTGAAGCTGAGAGAGAGAGAAGATGAAAGCCTTGCAGCAATATATCTGCTTTGGAATGTTCTTGCTGGTAAGCCTGTTCCACACATGCTCAGTTTATTACAAAGCCACTGTTTTTCTTTTTTGAATCAATACTTCAGCCATTGCAGCCTGAATTCTTTCTAAATTAACAAGAGCAGGTTGGACCAGATATTGTTTTTGAAGATAAGCAAGACTGGTCTTTTCAATTTAAATGAGCTACAGTGGTGCCTCGCATAGCGAGGTTAATCCGTTCCGGATTAACCTTCGCTATAGCGAAACATCACTAAACGGAATTTAAAAAGCCGTTAAGCGAGGTTCTGTCATAGCCCCGCCATTTTCGCGCCCTGGGTAAGCGAGGGCAGGGTGCGAAAATGTGGTGCGGACCTTCCGGCGGCCATTTTGGAACCACCGATCAGCTGTTCTCCCCCCGCTTCGTTATGCGATATTCGCTAAGCGAATCGCTTAGCAAATATCGCAAAGCGAAAAATCGCCATAGGGGCCATCGCTGAGCGAATGCTCCAGCGATGGCCCAGAGCGCCTTGTTAAGCGATTTCATCGCTCAGCGAGGCGCTCGTTAAGCGAGGCACCACTGTATTTTAAACCTGGAGACATTTTAGGGTTACTTGTTTCTACATGGGCAGGGGAACGGTTTTACTTTAAAAAATTCATAACTTGAAAACTTTCCCAGACTTCCCCAAATTTGTCACAGAGCAAGAACAAATTATCTGCTGCATCTTTGCCAGCTTTGGTGCTGATCCAAAGTCCAGTTTCAGACTTGTTTAAATTTTTGTTTGGGTTGTCCCATTTTTAGAATTGCCTTGTAGAATGTTGATTTCCTTTGCTAATGCAAGATCATTGATGCACACTCATGCAACAATAATAAGAGTTTCAGAATGAGCATTTGTTTTGTTTTGTTTTGATGCAGTCTCTTTTTCAAAGGGCTTCTTCACAGGACATTTTTAAAATAGCTGGGAACATGATTGCATAAGGTGCACATGTCATGCCAGTCAACTCTGGTCACACAACATTTGTTGTCTTTACATGTACTGCAGCTGTCATCCTGTAACTTTTTTAGTGACTGCAGAGCAAAGCTTTGAGGAGAGAGCGTGCCAAGCCATCTTGCTGTAAGCTACAGAAGCCAGGAGCCAGAAAGGTTTTTTTCACTACATGCACACCCCTAATTTGTCATCTGGAAAAGTTAATGTTAGATGAATTTTGTATTCAGCCAAACCCTGCTGTAAATGTCTCCTACACTGGAAGCCTCCTATGTTTTTTCTTAGTTTGTTGGATTATATTTGTACCCTGCCCGTCCTCAAAGAGTGCACAGGCTTATCTTTTAGTGTGCATGGGCTCATCCTGTTTTATCCTTGCAACATAGAGTTAAGAAATTTCAGGGTGAGATGAAGAATGAGATTGCAAGCAATCCCGAATAACTTGCGAATACTGTTCTGATGTATCATGTGAACCTAGATATCCTAGATCTGAATGCAGTGCTGTACTACTACAGATGTTCTGTACTCACTTGGGACCAAGAATATTCAGAGTAGTAGACCTGAGATATCTCAGTTCATGTGATACATTAAAACAATACTTAACAAGTGACTCTGGATTACTTATGATCTCATTTCTCTTCTCACTCTAACGTTTTGAGGCAGAACACTCCTGGCTCTTCTCTGGTGATGAAGCTACCTGTGCTTTATCCACTGTGCCATACTGGTGCACAGTTTTATTGTATGTTATATAGAACTGTACAGTTAAAAGGTATCATTGTGACCTGCTCCATGCATGGAAGTTGCAAAGCCAATCTTGTGGTAGCCAATGAATCACTCCATTTTTCCACCATGTTACTGTACTGCTCAGATAGTCTTGACATTGTTTTATGGCACGTCCTCCTGTACCTCACATTTTGGCCACAGTGCAGATTGTGATTGGCAGAGGTAGCATCATGTGCCAGTGTTAGAGATGAGCCAGTGTTGAACCCTCCAGTGTGTGATCTGGGCAGGCCTCATTTGAAATAACTGCTTCCCTTACAAAGCTTGGAAACATGCCATTTATGAGCTCTAGCTACCAGAATCCTATAGCTGTGGATTCTGGGAGTTATAGTCTTTAATGTATATGCAGCATAGCATACACTGAAATTATCCACATCCAGAGATCTAAGCAGTCTATTGGATAGGGAAGGACTCTCCTTGCCTCCAAGTATAGCTGCTGTGCACACTAAACAGATAAGATTGGGTCCATATGATCATTGAAGTCTTTATATTATAGGATTGCATAGTTACAACTGCATTTCATTAGGAACTCATATTTGTTCCACTTCACCTTACACAAAATATATTGATGATGGATGGTGCCCTTAGCCAAATCAGCTGTGGCAGTGATGTTTTAGAGGTCAGTGGTCAAAAACATTGTTCTGCATTTTTATAGATTCATTCATGAGTCTTTCCTACTCTTCTTTTTCTTTTCCTTCTTTTCTACAACTGGAGGTTGGTTGCTGACAGGGAATTATTTAGTGGTTGTTTCTGCCTTTTTGGTCTTAGTTGTGACGCAATGTATGTTAAGCTGTGGGTCCCTGTTGAAAGAAAGTTTCCTTTTTTAGTAATGATCCATTAAGATGGCAGTGAGTTATTTTGACAGTGCCTGTAGCATTCTGAATTTGAATAACGAAGCTATACCATATCATGTACTCATTTCTTTCACTCGTGCCCTAAAACACATAGCTCTATTCCTATAAGATGATAAGTTCAAATAACTTTGCTTCTTCAAAATGTTTCAGAAAGGTTGTCCATCTCGTGTCAGAGATGGACACGAACCATAGTTCAGCGGTTCAGCCTGGTTTGGCATCACGCCCGTACAGGTGTTTCACAGACATTGCATGCTTCTCTTCTCCTCTTCCTCCATATGATCGCCTACTCACTGGCAGCAGCATGATTCCATGCTCTGCTTTCTCTGCATGATTCTTCACTCAGATGAGGAGGTGGGGAAGAGAAGCCTGCAGCGCTACCGATGGGTGGGCAATCACATGGAGAAGGCAGGGGAGAGAAGTGTGCTGCTGATAGTCAGTGGCTGATCATGGGGAGGGACGTGTGCTGCGTCTGCGGAACACCTGTGCGGACATCATGGTGAACCAGACCGAACCGCCAAATCACAGTTCGTGCCCATCTCTACATTGGAGGTGCTTTGCCTGTGGATTTCTTGCAGTGCAAAGGGGGTTGAATTAAATGATCCTCGGGATCTCTTCTAACAGTTATGACTATAGAATTAATAGCAAACCTCAAACTGGTGTAAGACTAAGGATATTCGTACTTAAAACCACGAAAAATAGAAAAATCTCAATAAAAATTAAGTTTCAGACTAGGGCTTTTTCTTTCTAGAATTGTTTAGGAATCTTTATCTGGAAGTTTCCTCACACTTATATATTTGAAATGACACCTGTAGGCTTTTGCATCCTAAACTGTTCACAGAGTTAAACAGGGACTACAGTAGTCATGGCAGTCCTATGTTTCATGTTCATCCCCCCCCCCGGCATCTTTGTGGGCCTCAGGGTTATCATGTGATTCAGCTCAAGCTCCCCTCCCATGCACAAAAAATTCTATTGTAAGAAGAGTTTTGGCATCCTGTTTTATGAAGCAAGTTGATAAAATGTTTGCATCTTTGAGTAACCCAAAATATTTTCAGTGTGTTTCACAGTGTAGAGGTCTAAAGGACAACAGCAACGATACAACAACAACAAAAGTTGAGTTGTTGCAAGGCACAACTGGCTGGCTGGTCAGCATGTCGGGTATCTAACTATGGAGCCAGAAGCTAGGAGTTCAATTCCCCACTATGCTTCCAGGGAGAAGAGCCAGTCTGTGTGGCCTTGGGCAAGCTGCACACAGTCCCAGGATGCCCTCTGAAGAAGGAAACGGTAAACTACTTCTGAGTATTCTCTACCTGGAAAATCCTGAAAAGGTTCACTGTAAGTCAGAATTGACTTAATGGGTATCTAACTATGGAGCCAGAGGCTAGGAGTTCAATTCCCCACTATGCTTCCAGGGAGAAGAGCCAGTCTGTGTGGCCTTGGGCAAGCTGCACACAGTCCCAGGATGCCCTCTGAAGAAGGAAACGGTAAACTACTTCTGAGTATTCTCTACCTGGAAAATCCTGAAAAGGTTCACTGTAAGTCAGAATTGACTTAATGGCACATTACTATTAAGACATGTTCATACTTGGGTAGTAAAGCCTTAAGGGGAGAAGAGAATACTTTTAGTAAACATGTAAAGGAGTCTTTAAAAGAGGCAGATATCAATTATCTTCCTTGGGCATTAAGTATAGAACAAGTAGACATCTAAACCTGAAGACAGAACATTTCAGTTTAAGCATTAAGGAATTACTTTTAAAACAAGCTGTGAGAGGATGTTGTGCAAGCAGCATTATTGATGCTAATTGAGTCTAGATGTGACACCTCTTTGTTAATGAATCTTACTCTGCCTTTGTGAGTGAAGCTACCCATCAACATTTTCTTTCAGTTCAGATAATTATCTGATCTATTTGAGCATCCTAGTCACAATTGTCATTGGGAAAAGACTTTTGATTCAATTTTGATTGCCCATTCTGTAAGCAGGTTGCTTTTCCTTCAGGTATCCTGTTTGACTGGGAGCAGAAATTTTGATTCAATTTTGATTGCCCATTCCGTAAGCA